ACAGCCACAGGCACAGCAGCCAACGCCGGCCGCCGGCCGCCGCCATCTCGGTGCGCCCCGCCGCTGCCGCTGCCGCCGCGCCTGCGCGCTACCGCCGGGCCGGGACGGGCGGGAGAGGGCGGGGAGCTGGGCGTAAAGCCCGCCCTGCAGCCCGCCCTGCCCCGGCCGCCGGCAGGGGGCTGCCGTCGCCGTAGACGCCGCCCGGGGCACGCGCAGCTCTGTGGGGCCGTGCAGGCGCCTCACTGCCCCTCGAGGCGGGTTTTTTGCACGGCTGCTTCTCCTGCCCGTGCCACGTCGGCCGGCCGCCCCGTCTCGGAGGCTCCTCGCGCCCCGCGCCTTGCCAAATCCCAGCGCTCTTCCCGACTTCTTTCAGCTTATCCCGCTTGTTCACCCATCCGAGGGGGAGCGCGGGGCCGCACGAGGAGCGGCCCCCTGATGAGGAGTGGCTGAGAGAGCCGGGGCTGTTCGACCTGGGGAGGACCGAGGCGGGATCACAGCAGTTCTCCTAGATATCTGGAGGGCGGGTGTCAAAAGGACGAGGGTCAACGGGCCGCGCCGGCTCTGGGCGGGGCCGCGGAGAGCCGCCAGGAGGAGAGGCTCCGCCGCCCGCGCCGCCCCGGAGCGCTTTCCTCCCCCGCCCCTGCGGTGCTCGCAGACGGGCGCGGGCCGGCATGGAGAGCAGCCTGGACTCGGGTCAGCGTGATGGCGGAGCGGGCGGGGCGGCGGGGCGATGGCTCAGCTCTTTCTAAATATAAAGGGAGGGCGGCGCGGGGCCCGTCCGTCCGTCCCTCGTGGTGCTTGCGTCGGGGCGGGGGAGGAGGCGGGAGCGGCCCGGTGCCGCCCGGGGAGCTGCGGAGAGAGAGGGGCGGGAGCGGCCTCGCGGTGGCCGGGCTGAGCGCGGCGCGTCTCCCAGCCCGCCCTCCGCCTTCTCGCCTGCCTTCACTCCCCGGCCGGCAACATGGCTGCGGCCGCCGCGGCCGCGCAGGACGAGCTCAGTGAGTGGCGGCGGGCTGCGGGCCCGGCCGCGCGCGGTCACCGCGCTACCGGGGCTGCGGGGATCGGGGGTTGGAGAGGAAGGCCGTGCGGCCGGCTGGGAAATGTAGTCAGGGACGGCGGCCCGGCCTGGCCTGCCCCGCGGCGTGTGTGACCTTGCGGGGCTGCGGCGCTCGGGGAGCGGCTGCGGGGGGGGCTGAGGGGCTCGGGGTGGGGACGGCGCTCGTCGGCACCGTGTCCGCGGGAAGCGCCCTGCTCCTCTCCGCTGAGTCCTGTTTCCCTGCCTTCCCCGCGATACGTAGAGCTCTTCCCGGTTAGGATTAATTAATGGGCAGTGTGTGACTCAGCTGAGCGAAAGGTTGCTCTGGAACGATAGGTCTGGCAGCGTATCGGTGCTGTTGATGCCGTTGCGATTTTTCTCGAGGTGGTTTTCGTTCTCTCAGCTCGCTTCTGTGGAGGTGCTTTCGTGTGGAGGAAAGCGCTCCGGGGCGGTGCGGGCGGCGGAGCCTCTCTCCTGGCGGCTCCTCGCGGCCCCGCCCAGACCCGTTTGAGGCGTGACCCCGCCGGGGGCTCGTGGTCCGGCCCGTTGCGTGACCTTTCAACCGCTCTTTGTTCTGCTCAGGAGCGGGGCTGGGTGGCACACGGAGCGCCGGGGATGTGCTTTATGTAACGCAGGGCCTCGTGGCGGGGTGCGGGTCTTCGGGTTACGCCGAGCCTTGTGTTGGAGGGCACGAATGCCAGGCTATTTATTCCATTGACAACTGGGAGAAGCGGTGATCGCGGCAGTCCTGGCTGCTGCTGTCCTCCAGGAGGTCCCTCCGCCGCTTGGCGCAGCAGTCGGTGCGGTTCCTTCCCGCAGCTCTGCCGGTTCTGTCCGTGCAGCGTTTCTATCTTCCCCAGCCCCAGAGCTGATCCTGCAAACCGGTCCTGAGCTGCGGATCAGCTTCTCCACAGTCCTTTGTGTTGAACTGCTCTGAATGTCTTCAGAGCAAGACTTGTGTCAAAAACTGCCTGGTGTTGTCGTTGCTGCTCTGCTGCATCCTCAGAACAGAACAAATTTCACTGAATTCTAAGCCTTGTGAGAAACTGTGTTTGGTCCAGTGGAGAAAGAGTGTTGGTTTTTTTTTGATTGGTTTGTTGGTTTTTCCCTGGTACCTCATCTGCCACTGTCATCTTACTTAATAAATTCCTCTTTCTCCATTAACTTTTATCCTCAAGGCATAGGAGGAGTGGGAAACTGAATCATCCCCTCTTTTGATGCACTTAAAGTGTATAACACTAGCATAAGGGGAAATAAATCTGTTTCTTTTTAGAATGATGGTACGTCCCAAAATAAGAGGTGTAATTATTACTAGTTTTAGATTTGAGAATCAGCTTTCCTTTTATATGTATTTAGTTCTGTAGCACCAGTAAAACACAAAGTTCTTTGCTTAGGTTACATAGGTGGGTACTGACTGTTTGAGAGGTCAAGTTAATTGAAAGCAGCATCAGAGTGAAGGTTAAAAATCAGTGCAAAGCCATTTAATTGATCCTGAAACTGCAAAAGTTCAGATGTAAGAGTGAGCATTTAATTTTGAGTAATTGCCAGTCAATTGGATGGGAGGCCTGAGCCTGGCACATTGCAGATATGTGGAATTTGGAATGCACTCTTCCGTTTAAAAAAAAATAAAAATAAAAATTCCGTAATATGGAAGGGCAGGATGGAATAAAGGATATAATCCTCCCAATGCATTTGACTTTCCAGTCAAAGCCTTTAGAACAACACAATGTAGCCCAATTCTACAAATGCTCCCATAAGTGGTTTGCCTTTGGGTGCATAATGGGTTACTGGGAGAGCCAGGAATAGCATGCAGCAAATCCTGACTCACTGTTTGCTGCTATAATTGTACAGGGTGTATTTTCTCCCAGAGTCTAATACCGTTTCAACAAGAACTTGACATCTTTTCTAGCAGTGGCACAGTGGGCAAGAACCAGTTTGATTCCCTAACTCGATCCTTCTGCATGCAGAATAGCACAGAAACAATTACTTTTCTCTGGAGAGACTGAAAGATGTTGGAGCTTTTGCAGAAGCAGATGTTTGTCCCTAAGCCTGTGTGCCATCCAGGCAGAGTCACCCCTGTGTTCCCTCTGGGGAAGATGCTGGAGACTCCAATGAAGTGTTGGTTCTGTGGTGCCTGAGTAACTGAGGCTTTTTGTTTGCTGTACTGAGACATGCTTCAGGAAGTGCTTTATTGCAGCAGTCCCACTAATATGTCAAACAGACTTTTCCAGGAACGTGAAGATAATTTACTGTTTTATACACAGAACTTTGGTTTTCTACTCTTCTTTGTTTTGCAGAGAACCTATGACTTTCTCCTAGGTTTCTAGTTAAATTGTTCCTAGGATAGTTAAATACCAAGTCATGTCCTAGTCTTGGTAGTTTCTGGAGTCTGTTTTCATGAAAAGGAGAGGGTATCTTGTTTGATCCTCAGTTGCACCAGTACATGTTGCTGAGATGGCCAACCTGCTGCACATAGTGCCTATGAATACTTGAAAGAGATAAGACTGTCTTTGTGAGGACAGGAAGGAGGGCCTGGGCACAAGAAGTGGAGCTGAGCTCAGCAAGATGATGTCTTGGCAATGCAGAATTGATAGGCCAGCTCTCTTAGCAAGACCAAGCATGTGTGATTTTAGCTGGAAAAACCAAAGGTGTTTGCTTACTTTCTTTTAAAGAGTAGAAAACACTGAACTATTTATTTATTTGCTTTATCCTTTCCATGTCTTTCTGTCGTTCTGTTTGGCAAGCTACCATAGAGCAGACTGGAAGAAGGGGCATGTTGTCTCAGTGAGCAGGTTGTGGGCTTGCTGTTGACTGCAGGATTAGTTCTGAAGAAGGCCGAGTGATTCTGCTGACCATGCTACAGCCAGTGTCACAGGGTCTTGGAAGCTTATAGCACACAAGTTGGAGTCATTTGGTTTTTGCAAGAGGTGTGGTCTTAAGCACCGAATCTTGTATTCTTTTTTGTAGTTTTAAATGGAGGCTGGAGGAAGCAAAAAAAAAAAAGAGGAAAAAAAAAAAAAAGTAAAACACACATTTTCTCACGAATAGGTAACTGCATTGCCATGGTAACTTGAGGATTTCAAATTCCAAGTACGCTGTGTCAGTGGGAGCAAATTGGACGCTGCTGCTGGAAGCAGGAATACAAAGATTCATCTTGTTGTCCTGCCACTTTGTTTCCTGCATATGGTGAAAGAGAAGGTCTCTTCCTACGCAGTGCCTATTGTTAAATCATCCTTGTGTTCTTCCTTTTGGAAACATGTTTTTTTCAAGAAAAGCCTCATAAAAAATTGAATGCTTTGTGAAAATACTGCAGAGCCTTTAGGAAATAAGTTGTGACTACGCCAAAATACATGAATAGCTA